GTTCCTTTGACTCCAGGGTTGATTCACCATGGAAGAATGAGCCCTGGAGATCACTATCTCCAGGGCTGGCTTGTTTGGTTGATTCTTGGGAAACTTGTTTTTTATTTTCTTACAGACATTTCTGTTCGAAAATTCCTTTTTCTTCAGGTCCAGAATTTGCCAGAATCTTCCTGAATACGATGGACGATGGGGCGTTTCATACGCCACGTCGTCTGTCGTACCTTGCTGTACTTGGGTTGCTCGGGGCGACATCTAGTCGTCCCGAGAAAAGTTCGAAGTCCGCGGGCGACATCTGTTCGACCCGGGACACCCGTCAAGCGCTGAACTTCTTTGTAGAAAGTGCTTGCTTCATCCTCCTGATCAATTTGAGCATGCCACTTGTTGAGCACTCGAAGATAATTCAAGAAATTATCCTCAAGAAGAGCCAAATAAATGACTCTGTGATGGCAAAAAAGCACTGAAAAAAAAAAATAACTGAATAAAGTTGTTCTGAATAAAACAAACATTTTATTACCTTGATGCATGTCAAAATATCTCTTGTATTCCTCATTCGTCAACTCAATATCTGGGATTACAGTCAATCTGTTTCTCCCCAACAAAATGTTTCTGCGACTCTGTTTCTTAACTTGAAAGGTTTCATATTGTAAAGCAATCCTTCTGGCCCAAAAACAACAATTTCCGATATAAGACACGTCCATTCCCATTTCTAGAAATAATATTAATGTTTTTTATTCTTGAACAAATGTGCTATTTTATATTTTCTTGACCTACCAATAATCATTTCATCAATCTCATCTGCACTAGGCAAATACGTCTTGTGATGATACCTGACCAAAAAGAAACTCCTTCACCAATGCCCAGCAATAGATTTTGGCAGAATGCTGACAGTTCTATTCATCAGCACCAAAGTAATAGTTTCCGGTTTAGAGAAATTTTGGCCTCTCAGATCCCTGCCTTCTACCATTGTCTCAGTAATCCAGAAGCGTGAGATGTTAGGTTTACAACAAAGATGCATACAAAGTTCACTCTTTTTATTATCAGACATTTTCTGATCCTTTTTGTTAGACGCAGATGCAGATGCCCCTAAATCAACATCGACGAATGGTGTTTCTTCATCAGCTCCAAAATTTTCATTTGCCACCAACAAAATAGATGAAAAAGCCACATCCGTTCAATTACCGCGTCCCACCTTTTATCAAAGAATTACAAAGAATTTTATAATGCTAAATCCATTTGCCTTCGAAAATTTTTCAAAACCCACAAAGTTGCACTTACCCTGGATTGATGTTTTCTCTAAAGATAAACTCCACTTCTGATTCCAGCCCCAGCAAATCCCATAACTAAAGCGCTGGCCATTGCGTATTCCAAGCCAATTAAAATTGAAGTTCCCGAAAAAACAATTCTTTTCTTTGGATAAGCTTTATCTTTACCTGAACTTGCAATTATTGTGTCCCGCGAAGTTTCTTTTTCTGGAATTACTACTGTGGACTGAGACAAATTCTGTGGATTGGATTCAACAATTGGGACAATGTCATAAACACTTTTGGAAATTTCCTGATCAAATGAAACCACTGGAATTGAACTCGGAATCGATACAACGTCAACCTGATGCGCCGCCCAGCTTGCTGTTGTTGGACTCGAAATTGATTCCGCACTTGGTGCAACACTTGGACAACCTCCGACGATTGCGACAAACAAACATCATCTGAGGTCAAGGTGAAAGCAACGAATGCAGACAAAGCAGTTGTCACTGTTCCTCTTGAAGTTGAAGACAATTCTGTTGATTTCAAGGCAACCTGGTCTTCAGCAAGCAGCCCCTCTTCAGCAGAAATGACATCTGCCAAGGGTTCCTGCTTTGTTTCGGGCTCGACGGCACTAAACAGCAATTTACATTCCCCTCCGTCGACATGGACAGTGGGAGCCAACCCTCGACAAATCAATTTGCCCTTCAAGGAAATTTGCTAAAGGAAACAAAATATGCTGACTTTTTTGCAAAGTGCCCTTTTTCTTGGTTTATGACTCTGTTTTTCTACTTGCCTCTATTTTGTTGAAACTGGCACAGTTGAAATCGAGAACAGGCCCATTTAACACGACGTTTCCATCGTATTCCATAGCCTGCCTCACCCCAGTTCCACATAAATCGTTGCACTCATACCGTTCCCCAGAAATTTGGCAATTTTCCTCAGCTGTCACAGTTGCTACTACAGCTAAGACTAACTGCCAAATCTTCAGCAAATGCATCATACAACTTTGACAAAAATCCTTGAAAAACTTTTAAGCACTGGCAGAAAATAGTTTTTCGAATAGTTTTTCAAAGCTTGAGTAACGTTAACAATAACTAAGCAAAAACTGTGCTGAACTTGAATCAGCAACCAAGTTAAATACAACTCTCGGAATAGAATACTACTATTTCCAGTCTAGACCTATTCATGAGCAAATTCTTTTGGAAAGATTTTTTGCACAGTCAATTGGCCTGATAAAATCACACCCGGGTTATGAATTTTACACGCTGAGAAAAAGCAAGCTTCTTCTTCTTTGTGTGGGGTGATTGTTACAAATGGTATTTTTTATCATTCAAGGTTTCACTTGTGCGAACCTGCTAAAATCGGATTGTGATGACTTGTCACCAGCATCTTTTGTAGTGCACCTTTTCATTGATGCAGCTCATGCCCTTTTTGTTTACATTAACTCTTTTGCTGATTGCATTAAAAGCATTTATTGGGTGAAAAGCCTGTCTATTTTCTCAAAGGTCTTGCGTTGTTGGAAAACACCTCTCCGCAATCAAGGGGTAAAGAACCTCTAAAAGAGCCAGACACTCTTTTAACGTTCCCTTAGTTTTATTCATTGTTGTTGTCTTTTAAAGTAAAAATAACGTAAAAAGGATAACATTCTGATACCTCTTTATTGAAATGCTCAATATAATAATTTGCACGCAGATGTTCAACTTTATTTCTGCTGGGTTCATTTTGGCAGCCGGCCTTTTACAAGGCATGAATTCATTTCTCTTTCAATTTTATTTCATCCCTCAATTCCATTGGACATCATTTCAAATTTTCTACATTTTGGCAATCTACCTAAAGAATCATACACTGTTTTCGATTTTCAGGTGTGATCGCAATGGTTACAGATCAGATCCTTGGAAAGCCGTCGATGTCACCCGGTCAAAAATTACAACGACCTCGCCAAGCTCTTTTATTTTATCATTTCCAAATTCAGGTTTGTAATTTCCTGAAGTATGCTTTCATCATTTTACATGCTCCTTATTATTATTTTTTACAGGAAATGAATGGCACTTCGCCGTAGACAGCCCAGAGAAGACTGATGAATGGGTTTCCTCGCTGCGACGTGCCTCCCAGACCTGCGATGCTCCTGAAAATTTGATGGAATTCTGAACAGTTTCTTTCACTTTTCAATGATTTTAGGTTCATTTGGCGAGCAATGATTCTCTGATGAACTAAAGGGGATTTATATTGGAGCTTTGGCATTGAACCTTTTCTGCTCTCGCGGGTAATTATTGCTCTTAACACGGTGACTGCGTTGCGCAGCAAGGTTACCCTATTGCACAAGTAAGATATTGTCTTGATCATTTTTATTAAATCTATATGCAGATGTCGCTCTTCCACATCCGGTTGAGGCTAATGTTCACTGTACACACTGTATACGAATCGATTGTTCGCTCCAGCAGTTTATTTGCTGAGTAGGGTCTAGCATGGAAAGTCTGCCTCAAATATCTTCATGAGCTGGTGGCATAGCTGAATCATTACGAGCGCATTTTTTTGCAGAACTATTCAATTCCAATATTTCGTTTATATAGAGTACCGTAAATGCTTGTCGTATACGTTTCGGTCATTATTATTATATTCAAATGTGCTTGCTGTCTCATCGACGGGTCTTCTCGAGATCAATTCATTGTATTATATTTTCTTGAACACATTTGTGTCAAATGAGGCAAAGTGTTGAATTATGTCCTTTGCCGTTCAGGCAGTATAACGTCCATCGTCTGCAATGGATTCTTTTAACGTGAATCTCAAAGCGTATAGGAAATGATCAGCAGGATTTTTTTCGGCATTCATTGATGGTTTTGCTCTTGTGATGAATCAAAATTCCGGTTGGACTTTTGTAGCATCAAAGTGTGAAACAGTTCTGTGACTTTTTTTTTTCAATCGGTCCGTGCATGTGTATATTTTCGTGCGCCAATCTGCCGCATGGGACTGCTGAACCCTCTGATTGTAATTGGCTGTGATTCCCTGGTTTTTGCGCTGTTAGGGAAGTTTGAAGCTTTTTTGTGGAGCTCGTGGGCAAATAAAGAGTTAATCTACGAATATCCGCAGAAGTTTTGATTTGAATATAAAATGCAACCAAAATATTGAGGACAATTTCGAAGTGATTTCCAGCTGATTTTGGTATTTGTTATTGGATAACTATACTGTGAAGGAAGAAATGACCATATGGTGCATGAAGTTTGTTGTCTTGGATTTTCCCAATAGAGATTAGAACAAATCAGACAAAGTCAAAAGTGTGGCTCAATACTTCTATTCACTATTTCAGAACACATCCATTCATTGCCAAATATACAATACAAGTACACACTTTGGAATAATCAACATTCAACATGCATACAGTTAAGTACAATGCTAAATGGGAACTCTACTATTATCAGATCACTTCCTTTCCAAGTTACCAGCTAGAACCTAGTTGGGCAGACTCTGACAATAGACTGACCAAGAATTCTTCCTGGTCCAGGGTGTGAGGGAGCTTATATACAAATCTGCATCAATATGAAAACACTGTATTGTGCAGGTTGGAACAAGCATTA